CTATCTATCTATCTATCTATCTATCTATCTATCTATCTATCTATCTATCTATCTATCTATCTATCTATCTATCTATCTACATAGCCTTCCATCTCACACAAAGTGACTCTGGGCAGTGTACAACAATTAAAAGGAATAAATACATAAAAAACAATTACAAATAAAAAACTATAAATGCACACAGAACAGGAGGGGATAAAATTCACAAGGGAGCCACTGGAAAATCTCCCCGGTCCCCTGGGACCCCAGGCCTGATCACATAGCCAGGTCTTGAGGGACTTGCGGACTGTTAAGAGGGATGGAGCTAATCTAACTTCTAGGGGGAGAAGATTCCACAAGGCGGGGGCCACAACAGAGAAGGCCCGCCTCCTGGGACCCATCAAATGTAATTCTCTTGCAGACGGGACCCGCAGCATGCCTTCTCTGCCAGACCTGATGGGACGGACAGATGTAATCGGGGAGAGGCGGTCCCTCAGGTAACCCGGCCCCATGCCATGAAGGGCTTTAAAGATCAAAATCAGCACCTTAAATTGGACCTGGAAGCAAATTGGCAACCAATGAAGCTCGCAGAGCAGAGGTGTAACATGTACCGCCCTGGGGCACATATAACTGCCTGGGGCACTGCATTTTGTACCAGCTGAAGCTTCCTGATACTCTTCAAGGGCAGCCCCATGTAGAGCGCATTACAGAAATCCAAATGGGTGGTGACTAGGGGATGAGTGACAGTGATTAGGTCCCTCTGATCTAGGAATGGATGCAACTGGCGCACAACACGAAGCTGTGCAAAGGCCCTCCTAGCCATGACTGCCACCTGCTCTTGCGCACAGGGTCTGTCTGGGGCAGTGCAACCCCATTCAGTACCAAAGGTGGCATAGCCCTAGCACCACAAGACCCCAAAACCCAGAGCCACTCAGTCTTGCCAGGGTTCAGCTAAAGCCTGTTGTTCCCCATCCAGACCCTCACAGTCTCCAGGTACCGGGATAAGACATTCACAGCATTGCTTAATTCGCCAGGGGCAGAGATGCATACTGATGATACCTCACCCCATGGTGACCGATGAGCTCACCCAGCGGCCTCATGTAGATGTTAAATAGGAGGGGGAAGAGCACCGAACCCTGCAGCACCCCACATAACAAGGTCTGAGGGTGGGATCTCTCCTCCCCAACCACCACTGACTGGAATCGGCCTCGGAGGAAGAAGGTGAACCAGCACAACATATTGCTGCCCACCCCCAATCCTCTGAGCCAATCCAGAAGGATACCATGGTCGAAGGTATTGAAAGCTGCAGAGAGATCAAGGAGGGTAAGAATGGATGCACAGCCCTCATCCTGTCCTTGCCAGAGATCATCCAAAAGCATGACAAATGCTGTTTTCATCCCATACCCAGGCCTGAATCCCAACTGAAAGGGATCCAGGTAATCTGCTTCATCCAAGGTCCTCTGAAGCTGTTGTGCAATACCTTCTCAATCACCTTCCCCAAAAAGGGGAGGTTAGATACTGGATGAAAATTGTCCAGTATAGTGGGGTCTAGCGATGGCCTCTTGAGGAAGGGGT